AGAATTTAGGGCTGTTGTACATAGGGTCCCTGTGAGTTGCAAGCAACCCAACAGCACATAACAACAATGACAACATCCTTAAATGGGGCACATTTTTCCATTTATTGCAAAAATGTTCTGTAGTTTTGTCTCTACAGGCCTTTTGTGTCTCTAGTTCAGTTCACTCCCAAGTATCTCAATTTGTGATTGGCTATTGTACTGCTTTCTTGATTTCCTTCTCTGAGTTCTCTTTGTTACTGTTCAGGAATCCCACTGCTTTTTCTATATTTATCTTGTATCCTGCCACTCTACTAAACTGATCTACTAACAGGTTTTTTTGTTGAGTCCTTGGGGTTTTCTATGTACACTATTATATCATCTGCATAGAGCAACAATTTAACCATCTCCATGCCAATTGGGATGCCTTTTATTTCCTTCTTTTGTCATATTGCCCTAGCACGTACTTCCAATACAGTACTGAATAGCAGTGGTGACAGTGGGCATCCTTGTGTGGTCCTATTCTCAAAGAAAATGCTTTTAATACATCTCCATTGAGAATGATATTGGCTCCTGGTTTTGCATATCTCCTTTTCTCTATATTGATGAAATTCCTTTCTATTCCAATTTTTCTGAGTGTCTTAATCAAGAAAGGGAGTTGTATTTTGTTAAATGCCTTGTCTGCATCAATTGCTAGGATCATATGATTCTTGTTATTTGTTGTGATAATGTGGTGAATTACATTGCTTATTTTTCTTATGTTGAACTATCTTGCCTACTTCTTATAAATCCTACTTGGTCATGATAAATTATTTTTTTATGTACTTTTGGATTCTATTGGCAAGGATTTTGTTAAAGATTTTTATGTCTATGTTCACGAGAGATACTGGTCTACAGCTTTCTTTTTTGGTAATATCTTTGACTGGTTTGGGTATGAAGATTATACTTGAATGTCTCTGGGGGTGTTTTATCTTTTTCTATATTTTTAAGTAAGTAGAATTGGTGATAAATCTTCTTTAAATGTTTGGTAGAATTCAGCTGTGAAACCATCTGGTCCAAGACTTTTTTTGTGAGAGAGTCTTTTAAGATCTGCTCAACTTCTTCTTTAGTGATGGGTCTGTTCTACATCTGACCCTGTCAATCTGGGTAGGGTATGAGTTTCAAGGAATTGGTCCATTTCTTCTATGTTCTCAAATTTGTCTTGTTGTCTGTTGTTGTTATGTGCCATCGAGTCATTTGCAACTCATAGCAACCCTATGTACAAGAGCTCTAAACGCTGTTCTATCCTGTGCCAACCTAGCCATCTCAAACGTACTTATTCCCACAGCTCAAGTCACAGAATGGATCCATCTCATCAGAGGTCTTCTTCTCCTTCGCTGCCCCTCCACTCTGCCAAACATGATGTCCCTCAAAGTATGTCAGAGGAAGCTTCAGAATCCTTGACTCCAAGGAGCATTC